AGATTTTAGCTTGCACGGTTATAACAGTCTCATAGTAGACTTATCTCTTCTCTGTTGTTTTTTTTGGCGCGATGCCTTGCTGTTTTTATAGGCGAAACACTTAACTGGATACAGAAATAGATATTGTTGATTCCTGTGTTCAGGAATGTTCTACAATCTTGGAGAATTGGCGGGAATTTCGCCATACATAACTAACGCAGTAAGCTGGACACGCCCTCAAATATAAACTTATTCAAAACAAACGTTGACATTAAAATAAATATATAACAAATTCGTTATAAGCAACACATATCTGAAACTACAAGTCACGCATATTTATAAATACAAATTCAATCCAATCAACGTTCATATTAAAAGATAAATACATAATAATAAATTCGTTACACTATCTTAACACTAACCATAGCTAAATCATCAAGGTACACTGAAATGAAAAGTGAAAAATTGTGAAATAAAATGAACAATGCCTTTCTCCTTCCCGTTTGAATGCATTATGTGTTGTCACATCTTCAGTTAATGGTATTCACATTTTCAACTGTTAACCCTTTCACATTTATTTTTGTTTAATTTCATGGTTTTACTGCCTGACTACTACAACAAGCAATTTATTCATTAGTGAAAAGCAATAGATCACAGCTGGAACACACTATCAAATTCTCCTACACTGCATGGCATGAAATGTATTGTTACGTCTCCGTTCGTTATGTTGCGTCAGCGAGGTCACATGACTAGTATCACGCCACGTCCTTCTCGAACCTTCGTGAATTGTCGGGAGATTACTAGATATAGTGTTGTCTTGTATATATAAGACCGGCCACGAAGCGACGCGGAGGTAATGAGTAATTGAATGTATGCGGACAAAATATTGTTGGTCACGTGAGACGTGAGTTATAGCGTTTGTTTTAGAGCGACTGTTGAAATTAAGTGTATCGTAAAGTTGTATTCGGAAAGAATAAACCAGTTTTATTTAAGAAAGAACTTGTGTCGCTAAAGTTTCGTCAGAACGAATTTACGGAAAATTAACTAACGAACGGAGGCGTAACAAATTGGTGTCAGAAGTGGAACGAAAAAGAAAAAAAAGAAATGGAAACGAGAAGCGGCAAATCAAACTACAGCTTAGCAGACTTGATGGCAGCAATACAAGAACAGCAAAAGAAACAAGAAGAACGAGAAGAGAAACAAGAAGAGAAATTACAGCAGTTCTTGGAGAAAAAAGAAAAGAAACAAGAGGAGAGACAACAGCAGTTGTAAGAAAACCTGTAACAGTGGCAGCTCGAACAACAAAATAAACAAGAAGATAAATTACAGCAGTTGTTGGAGGAAAGAGAAAAGAAACAAGAAGAGAGACAACAGCATTTGCAAGAAAACCTGCAACAGTGGCAGCTCGAACAGCAAAATAAACAAGAAGATAAATTACAGCAGTTGTTGGAGGAGAAAGGAGAAAGAACATAAACAAGAAGAGAAACTACAGCAGTGGCAACTGGAACAAGAAAGGAAACAAGAAGTACAAATGGAAAACATTAGTAAATTTAAAAGCGAATTAGATACGTTAAAGGACGATTTATTGTCTTTTACACAAGGAGGATACATTAACCATCGACTTAACCAGCCCCAGACAATGGCAAGCCCCTTCCAGACCCTGCAGCTAAACCATAATGCAAACATCTTCAGCCCTGTTAGAAGTCACATCCCAGATAGGAATGTCAGTAATAGGAGTGATCCAGTGCGAAGGAAGCCACAGGAATTCGATGGGAAAGCACCGAAGATTTTTGACATCAATCACGTCCTCTCAACTAACGTCTATTGTAGAGGCGTCAGAACTGGGGATGCTGTAGCACTCCCAATTTTACATATTCGACATATATAACAACTGTAAACTATATTATTACTAGCGTAAGCGTATAGTCCGTCAAAGATGATGAGGCAAGTACTATCACGCCCACCCTATAATATACCCTAACCTCACATTTCATAGCTAACAGAAATGAATAAATTTTGCGAAATCAAACTTGATCAGAAAAGTGCAGTCGGGGTAGTCAAACGTCGGTAAATTCCCTTGTGAACCAATCAAAATTAAGATCATTCATGAAATGAATTCGTGGCGAATTCTTAAAATAATTATTAATAAAAATCAGTTTGATTAACAACTTATAACACATAGAAAAACCAGCGCGTTTGGGTAACACTACGTCCCAACAAAAGCTTTTATGTCACGTTGTGGCTTGGCATGACAAGGTGGTTAGGGTGCTCGACTTGCAATCTGAGGGTCTCGGGTTCGAATTTTCTTCTCACCAAACTTGCCCGCCCTTTCAGCCGTGGGGGTATAATAATGTGACGGTCAATACCACTATTCATTGGTAAAAGAGTAGCCCAAGGGATGGCGGTGGGTGGTGATGACTAGCTTCCTTCCCTCTAGTTTTTCGCTACTAAATTAAAGATGGCTAGCGCAGATAGCCCTCGTGCAGCTTTGCGCAAAATTCATAACAAGCTGTTA